TGAACTGTTACAATTGACCCCGTAAGTGGGGACAATTGTAACAAGTGCACGACTGTCAAAAATTGTTAATAACTAATATAATAACATTTGAAATAAGGTATTTTTTTTCTAGTAGAGGATAGTCTACTTTACTCGTCTGTCAATTAATACTGATAACATATTGTATTTTTTGTTAGTTAAAAATAGTTAAGTAAAAAATGTTACAATTGACCCCACTCTCTCCTACTTTTCTTTAGGTGTAAGATTTAAAACAACCTAGATGCCTTGTTTGAAATTTCTGATTTAATACGAATAATTGAAAGCAATAGCTTTTTTTGCAAAATTAAAAATCATAAAAACAAGTTTCTCTTCTAAAATCATTTAAAAGGGATAATAAACTGTCAATAACTTATATATATAAAGAGAAGGAGAGAAAGAGAGAGACGTACTTAAAAAATTAGTCTACACAAATTAGTTATTAGTTAGCATCCTTAAAGTTGAGCATTCGAATCGTTAAGATTAAATCCTAGCATGGGAACTTACAATCATTAGGTCAAAAGTTATTTAGGGTTTCCCGTTTCTTGTTTTTCTCACTCTGTAATAAATATTGACATGATATTAGAGAATAATTATCGATGTTTAATATCCTCTGGCTGAGATATCAAGTATACTCGATACGGGTCCAAAATATTTTTCGAAGCTTTTCCCCAAAATACGTTTTTCAACTTATGGTTTATGGATAATATTTCTTAAACACAAAATGTTTTTTATCCATATTAGAATAATAACTTAAATATTGAATTAAATAGTCAGCAAATCATCAAACAAAAATCTGTCACGCATTTTTAATAGTTTGCAAAACCATAGTTTACATAATCAACAGTACTAAATTTACAATACAATTATCTTTTGATGTTTCTAATCAAAAGTTTTTACATTCTATCAATAATTTGCATGAACTGAAGAGATAAATTTTCTCTAGTTTAAAAAACAAATAAATTCCATTCAAATCCTTTTTGTATGCAATATAAATCATTTTCAACTCAATGCACGTGATAAAAATTACGTTCGTTAATTGAAAATTATTACATTAAAACTACATTAAAAATTGCATCTAATTTTGGTTTATTAGCATAGGCATATTCCTATTTTATAAACTCATTACGTATAATTATCATTTCACTGTAAGAAATTCCAAATTAATTAACGGTAAAAATAGCAGGCACTCAGGGTGCTTATATTTTTTACTGTAAGCAGTTACGAAACTTGTACTTGTTGTAACCTAATTTTTATAATATTTACGGCAAAATCACTGAATAACTGTAATTAAATAAATTTTACTGTGAAAGTTACAGTATAAAATTCTACGGAAAATTTTTCCACACCACGAATTTTACCGTAAAATGGATTTTAAGGCTGCTGCACTCTGGGTGCCAGTACTTTTTACCGCAATACGAAATATTTACCAGTGAAGCGGAATGGAATACTGAACTTTCATAACTGTTTTTTTAATTATTTTCAATTAAATGCTAAATTAAGCAAAATTTTTCAGTTGAGAAGCTCTAATAAAAGTTTAACCTACATTTTCTATCAGGAATTAAAAGCATAAATTAAGAGACTCTACTCGTACAATTTTCAAGGCTGATTTTAATTTTGAAAAAAACCTTAAAAGTACTCTGATATTGCTTTAGCTTAATGTATCTATTAAAAATAATTTTCTTAAAAAGCAGAGTTGCAAGTTAATTAAAGCCTCTTACATGTACTTACAAAATATATTCAATTTAATACATTTGAATTTTAAGACTGTATTGCAGTTAGAAAATCCCAATCGCAATCTAAAATATCTTAAATTTAATTGATTAGTATTCTTAGATTCAATTTGTATTTAGGAGAGAGTGGGTCAATTGTAACAGGGTACGAATGTAACAGAGCAAAAATTTCGAGTGTCGAGTTCTAGATTTGATTCCTAGGTAGAGGACACGGTGTATTTAATAAATCTACATGTACACCCCTGCTGGCAACCATTTTCATGTACTTTTGAAAGAGTTACATCACTAAAGAAATTTTCACTCCACGTAAGTACTTTTTTTAAGTATTAGAATATTATATTGTAACAAAGTAATTTTGTTTAAACAAATAAAAATTATTTACTGAATATGTAGGTAGGCACTTTAATTAACATTTCAATAAAATTTTTTATTTTGTTAATTAACTAGCATTATTTTTAACAAATGAAGCTGAAATGGCGTCTTGGGGACGATTGTAACATTAAGTAAAGGGACAATTGTAACAGCTGAAAATAAATAATCTTATGTTTACAAACCATTACTTAACTCTTTAAGAACCACCAATAGTTT